CGGCCGGGGCAGGCGTCCAGGGGGGCTCTCCTCAGCGGCTTCCCAAACGTCCCTGGAAGAGAGAACCTTGAGCCTCTGCGTCCCCGCCGGCCGGACGCCCGCAGCACGCAGCGCGGGAGGAGACACCTGCGCGCCCAGGTTTGGCTCAAGACTCGGGGTCCTCCCCTGCGCCGAGGGGCCTGGGAGAGGCGGGCTGACTCACTGCACTCCCCGACTTCGTTTGCTCTTAAATGAGATGCGGAAAATGGTGCTTTCAGAGAATGACGACGCAGGCCAGAGGTACAGGGAGGTGAGCGGACGCCCCGGGCCGAGCGGCAGCGGAGACGGCGGGTCTGCGGCGCCTGCGGCATCTCCGGCCCCTGGAACTCAGGCCTCGCGCCGAGACCGCCAGGCAGGCGGCGCGCTCCGAGCCCTGCGTCTCATCAGTCTCATGAGCTCCGCGATGTGCACCCCTGGGCACTGAGGTGTCCGCATCTCGGCCCTCAACCCCCCGCGGAGTGCTCAGAGTGGACGGCTGTCCAGGAAGGCGTTTGAGCGCCGCCATAGTGGCGCCTGGACGCGAGTCTACAGAATCCCTCGCGGTGAGCCTGGCGCAGCACCGACCGGCTTTGACCCCCGACGCCTCAATAACGCAAGCAGAAGCCAGCCGGGAGCGCCCCGTCCGTCCTTGGCAGCGAAGTATTACTCAGCTGGCTCAGGCGCCCACCTCACCACGGGAAAGAGGCCTTCCCTTTCCAAGGAGGAACACACACACTCACAGTGCGGGCACACCTGGGCAACAAGCTCTCAGAGTCCATTAAAAAAAGAAACCACCAAGCAGCACCAGTCTCCCCGCCTCCGTTGTGGAAAAGGGGGCTCAGTTCTTCTGCCCCACTGTTCCCCCCAGTGCGTCCGGGTGCCAGCCCTCCCCTCCCCGCCATGCGGGGGCCCCTGGCTGCCTCCTTGGGCCGCGGCGGCCGGGCTGCCAAGCACCCGCTGTCCTGCCAGGTCGGAGGCCCCACGCGGGGCCGCAAGTCACCAGCCGGCCTCTCCCGGAACCGCTGAGTCCACCCCA